GAGTTCGTTTCTGACTGCCTCAAGTTTCGAAGTTGTGTGATTATAACTAATATGATTATGAACAATAAATTTTGTTCGAAACTGTGTCATCCAGTAAATAATACTGTCTCACTGTGTGATATATCTAATATAGAAAAAATCCCCATTTAGACATTTAGAAAACAGAAAGATTGAGCGAAGAAATATTTACTTTTCAATTAGATCCTCATCTCTGTCTCTACTCTAATATATGTATAGCATTTTTATTACAATACACAACAGTTTACCAAACAAGTGGTGATACGTTTGTTAACAATAATTAAAGTGTCAAAATGTCAATGGGTTGATAATTAACGAAGAAAATCAATACACATTTAAAAAGTAGAAATGGATAGAATGAATTAATTTTACAAGGATAACACGTAATTAAAGATGAAGTGGTCAAAATAAAAATAAAATAATTTGGACAATTATAATTTTTATAGGTTTAGGGGGAAAGAGGCGACGTAGTCCTGTTTATGCATTCTTGTAACGATGGTCACGGTAAGGAAAGTGGCTGTACAAATTTCTTCTGAACAAATAGACTTGGCTTCTTAAGGTGGATTCGGACTGCCTCGGTTGTCTGTAGAAGAAGGAACTTATTTTAAGATGTACAAGGAATGTTCATTTCTTATTCAATAAGGAATATTACAGGCAAATTGATGCTGTAACTATGGGTTCACTATTAGGTCCAATCCTAGCTGATTTTTTTCTTCGCTAAATTAGAGAATGGACCACTGAAAGGAGTAATTAATGACATGGATTTCTACTGTCGATATATGCATGATACATTTGTGGTTATGAAACACGAGAATGATGCAATGAATATCCTTGACAAGTTTAATGATACACATTCAGCAATAAACCTTACCATAGAGAAAGAAAGTAATGACAGTATCTCATTCCTAGACGTCTTCATGGCAAGGAAAGAAGATGGCACACTAAGAAGGAGTGTGTGTAGGAAACCTACAACAACAGGTCAGTACACTCATTTTTTTTGAGTTTTGTACCTTTGAAATATAAACGTAACCTGGTAAAGTGTCTGGTTCATAGGGCTAAGTTAATCTGTTCAGACGACTGCCTCAATGAGGAGCTTAAGATTATTAAAGAATTTTTTTCCTTCAAGTTCCCCAGTGGAACATAGGGCTTCAAGCTAATGGCTTGAAGTTTCTGTAGCAGTGTTTGTTTTTACAGGATGGGGTTGCTAGCTTCATGCCCAAACTTTCCTCTTTTCCAGCATTATTTCTGGCTCAGCGAGGTAAAGGAGTGCGTCGGCCGGGGATCTAACCCCGAACCATGTGCATGGTCGGCGAGCGTCCTGACCGCTATACTTAGAAAACATGGTTATCCAGATAAATTTATTGAGAAGAATATGAATTCAGCACCAAAGAGAGTCAGTATGGCTACAGTTCCGAAAAAACCAATGTTCATAAAACTGCAGTTCCTCGGTGACCATTTCAGTGAAATAATAACACGACGCTTGAAGAATGCAGTTAAAAGAGCTTATTATGCAGCAGAGGCACATTGTCTCTTCAAAACCACCCCTATTCTATGTTCGAGAAATAAGGATAAACTACCTAATTTTGCCTCTTCTATGTTTATCTAGCAGTTTGACAGCAGCTGCGGAGCCAGCTACATTAGGCGTACAATTAGGCAGGTTCATCGTCGTATTTCCGAACATCATCCAACATGGTTAAGCAAGGGACAAACTTGATCTATTCGTAGTTCTATTTTAGCACACCTTGTTGATACTGAGCACAAAATTGATGTTAATACTACTTGTAAAATTATTTATCGCATTCCGACTAATCTTAACTTTGCTCCACGAGTTCGTCTTCTACATACAGCTGAAGCAATCGGAATCCACCTTAAGAAGCCAAGCCTATTTGTTCAGAAGAAATTTGTACAGCCACTTTCCTTACCGTGACCATCGTTACAAGAATGCATAAACAGGACTACGTCGCCTCTTTCCCCCTAAACCTATAAAAATTATAATTGTCCAAATTATTTTATTTTTATTTTGACCACTTCATCTTTAATTACGTGTTATCCTTGTAAAATTAATTCATTCTATCCATTTCTACTTTTTAAATGTGTATTGATTTTCTTCGTTAATTATCAACCCATTGACATTTTGACACTTTAATTATTGTTAACAAACGTATCACCACTTGTTTGGTAAACTGTTGTGTATTGTAATAAAAATGCTATACATATATTAGAGTAGAGACAGAGATGAGGATCTAATTGAAAAGTAAATATTTCTTCGCTCAATCTTTCTGTTCTCCATATATCTAATAAACAAACTAATATGGAATAAACTAAAAATTGTAATACATACACATTTCAGATGAGTTAAATTCTTTTTTCACAATATATTTTTTTTACTACCAATCAAACATTGAAGTATGTTACTTTACTGACTGTTTTATAACCATTGTGATTTCAAGGAGTGGTCTTCAGCTGACGACAACCTGTGAAATAGTAGGTGATATTATTTTAATACTGTAAAAATTTGGTCTTCCCTTGATTTCCTTTTAATCGGAATCCATTTTTATTCTGACAATGATCTTTCGTGTAAATCACTAAATCCATCCTCGTATCATGTGATAATTACTAACATAAGCATTCAGTGGTCAAGTGTAATACAAAGTCACCAGTTCCACCGCCAGTGGACAAAGTACCCCCTCCCCGCACACTCACACACACTGCTTCATCAAATAACACCAAAATAATAATAAAATAATGCAGATATCATCATGATAATAACAATAATTTATTATTATTATTATAATTAGTGGAAGTAATAAAATTAATTTTGGATATTTTTTTTCGTTTAAATATATGCAGAATAACTAAATATTAAATAAATTTGCACACGTAAATACGTGTAATTCATTAATAATAATGATAATAAGAATAATAAATTAATAAATAAATAAGTAGTATGTGTGAATAAAGGAAAATAAAGATAGAACCCACCGGCGACAACAACAACAAGAAGAACAGCTCTTGCAATGTGTGGGCGTTCACAGATCTACTTAAATCAGCATCTAAGAAGTTACGTCATCATTATTATTATTATTATCGCAGTGGTAGTAGTAGTCTTTATCAAACGGATGGAGAGACTGAGAAAAGAGACTGCAGTGGGAGAGGACAATAATAACGACAAGAGAAAAGAAAGGCAAAGTAAAAAATTGGAAATAAGATTTTTGGCAAAAGAAATTATCTTATGCCTGTCTGTCTGTCTATCTATTTATTTGTTTTCTTTTTTCCATGAAATATACAGGGAAATAAATTTTTTTCTAGGAAAAAAACCCACAACAGGAGGAGGTGTGAAGTGTGGCATAGAAGTGAACAAAAATCTCTTCTCCCTTCCTTCCCTGCTCCTTCTTTCCCTGTCGCACACTCCATCTGTCTGTCTGTCTATCTATCAAGCAGGCTCTATTCTTCTTTTCACCATGCAATGTTAAAATTCATTACAAAATAAAAATTTAAATAAGTAATAAGTTCTCTTCCTGATGATAATCACATAATGATGATGACGATGACTATTGAGTAAGAGAACGCAAACGAACCAATACACAGACACACACACACACAAGCACACATACAGAGATGTACAGAAAAATAGACAGACAGACAAACAAGAAGTTATGACTATAACAAATTAATATAGGGCTAAAATTATGTAACAACACCATTACGACCACCACCACCACCACGACTGTAGTCATCAGCCGGAGAAATATTAACAGCTAAGCCAAGGTGAAAGAAATAAACACCGATTATAAACAAAACATCACAAAACAACAGCAACATCAACAACATTCAGGCAAATAAATATTGTCTGTGCAAAAGAAAATAGAAGAAGATAATCAGTTTACTATTCTCCCATTTTCCATTCTCTCCTACTTACTATGAAACAAAAAATGATAAATGTATCTACCAGAGAGAAGACAGTGGAAGTTCGAATTGAAGAGTGCAGCGGCGGGGGAGGAGGAGGAGCCGGGTGCTCAGACAACTCAGTGGAAGTCACCAAGAGGATATATATATATGTATATAATCTTCTTTTTAATTGACATTTGATGTACTGATCACCATCATTATCAGCATATATGATAGACAGGTATCCTGTGATTCACAAGATTATCAAAGTAATAATAATAATAATAATAGTGGTAATGCTAATAATATTAATAATAATAATAATAAGCGAAAAAAGTCAACGTGAATAAAACCAGAAGAAAAAAACCCAGAAAGAGGGATAAAATAAGACACATGCAAAATGAATTCTATACAAATATACGACAGAGAGAAAGGGCAAGCAAAAGAGAAAGAATCCATAGGAATATTGATTGTACAGTACAGGAAGGCAGGCAGCAATGACAGTTATAGCTGAAAAAATTACAAAAAAAGGTTTCTTACTTACACTAAAAGACCATCACATCAGTAGTAGTAATAACATACATGTACTGGCCACTTTTTATATGTGCAAATAATAATAATAATGATAATAATAATAATTATTATTATTATAAACAACAGAAAGTTAACATAATCGAAAGACATAGGTAATCCCAAAAGGGGGAGAAAATAAATAGGGGGAGAGGGGAAGGGGAAAGTTGTGGTGAATGGGAAATTATCAAAGATAGTACATAAATACATACATATGGGATTAGGATTTGTGTGCTTTATAGACATGGGAAAAGTAAAAGAAGACAGCAAAGTGTGAATACAAGTCATGCGCGCGTGCACACACTCACACACAGAAACACACTGGTAGTACTTGGCATTGCTAAGATTTATTGTTGATGAATAAGCTAAATATTACATTATATATTAGATTTTCTTTTAAATGAAAGCGAAACGACTAAATCGGGACATACATCTTGAAAGCAAGAGTGTGCAAGTACCATTGCACTGCACTGCACTGTATAACTGTGAATTAAACTTTTGAAAAAAGGAAAAAAGATAGGCATGATAGGCATCATAAAAACAGTATTGTTATGTTACCACGACTGCAATTATTCATTGAATCAGAGGTTATTGTACAGAGAGAGAGAGAGAGAGATCAAACCTTGCCGAATACATGAGTTGTAGTAGTAGTGGGAGCAGCAGGAGCAGGAGTAGGACTAGCAGTAGTTGTTGTATTGAAAGATTGATCCTCGGAATGAGTTTGATTGACACCACCAGAGACTGATGAACTTGTATTAGTGGCGATTGGCGTAGATTTTGATTTATCCAACAATTGATATAGATAATCGTGTAGGTCTTTTAAACACTTATAACACGAATTCAGTGGATATTTATTCTCTGTAGGTTTTAAATGCAAAAGGCAGTCTGCAGTTTGTTTACTTAAATTATCACATGAAATTAAAATATCTTTAACAAGATTTGAATTAATATCATCAATATATTGGACAATATGAGCTTCTAAGTCAATTCTGAAAGTGTCTATGCTTTGGCATAGTTTAGTATAAGTAGACTGTGAATTTCCACTGTCATGTTCAGAGTTATCAATAAGATTTTTACTCTGATTGAGTAATTCTACAACTTGTTCAAATAGATACTTCAATGATGGATTAGTTGATAAAGGATTAGGATGAAGATTTTGTGAATTTTGATTAGTATGATTAGGTAAGTAGTAACAATCGGGTGCTTGATAAACATCATCATCTTCATCTTCGTCATCATCAACATCATCGTCACCATCACCTGAAAGGTCAGCGGCGGCACCGGCACCGGCAGCAGCAGAAGCATCTGGTTTAATTGATGATGAATTATCTTGAGAATTATTCGGTGAATCAGATGCAATAGATAAAGTTTCATCTTCGAATGATCTTGGTACTTCTTCTGTATTTGATTCTTCTTCTGATCGATCATCACATATATGCCGACGTCCATTTGGACAGTCAAAATGTGAGTCACTACTACCACCACCACGTTCCATGTCGAGTTGTTTATTCCGTCGACGTATATGAGAGACTTTTGAATGTGAAAATGTATAAGGATGTGGTGGTGTATCTTTATTTTTCGAAGAGGTATCAACATCATCATCATCCCGATTATTATTATGAACCGATTTAATTGGTTCACAGAAATTTTTTGAATGATTCCGTGAACTAATACTATTCAAGGAACAATCATTCGATTGATTACGTTCTGTAATTAATTCATTTTCTAGTATTCCATTCGGTTGAAAGGCTTGTTCATTAAATTTTCCAACAAATTGAGACTGAGAAATACTTGATTTAGACGGTTCGCTAGTTGGACTTAAATGCAGACTAAATAGGAAATATTAGAGGAACAAAAAACCCACAATTAGACCAACGTTACAAAAGATTTTTTTTGAAAAAAAACGTTATTAAAACTGACGGGTATGATGAAATAAAAGAACAAGAAATTCAGCAAAATATAGACATCTTTTCGGCGATTTCACCAACAAAAGCAACTGTACAATCACATTTTTTTTCCTTCACGTTCCCCAGTGGAACATAGTGCTTCAAGCTAGTGGCTTGAAGTTTCTGTAGCAGTGTTTATTTTACAGGATAGGGTTGCTAGCCTCATGCCCAACCTTTCCTCTTTACCAGCATTATTTCTGGCTTAGCGAGTTGAGGGAGTGCGTCGACCGGGGATCGAACCCCGTACCATGCGTCCTAACCGCTATGCCACCGATGCACTTGGCGCCCCCCGGATGGGCCCGAACCACCAACCATTCGGTTAACAGCCAAATCACACTGACATACGCATAACTCTACTTGGATACAATTATCATTTAATTTCACATAATTAACAAAGGAGACAAAATGTGATAATAATTTTCAACTTGGTATGAAAGTTTGAAGGTTACAAGGGAGGCTTAGATCCCGTGAAAACGTGACTGCAAACAGGGTAAAACTGGTTCAATCAGAATCGCCAAAGTTGAACATCTCGTCAATACCTATCACAGTGTCTCAACTGATTCATCCATCATTCAGAGTCATTTACAAAATGACTTCTTTGTACTGCCATATGCATAGAAAAGCTGGAGCTATGTGCTCAAAAGAAACTAGTCCAACGTCTACATTTACCATGGATCTACTTCGGTTTGACTCCTTGGTTTTCGTTTTTCTTTTCTCCTCTCTTTTCATTCCCTTCAATCAGTTTTTCGTCTTTAGTTATACCAAAAAATATCATTTCAGTTTGTTTCTATGCTCATTCCGTTCACACTTGTATTCGTTAAAAAACAAACAAGCTATTTTACATATAAAACAACTATTTTCTAATCCCTGTGTAATTTCGTTTCTACGTTCCCCTTATAATCTCCTCAATATTCATTCACACCTTCCAAATTTCAGACCAAGTTGAAAATTATTATCACCTTTGGTCTCCTTTGTTATTATATGGAGTTAAAAAAAAAATAATGATTGTATCCAAGTAGACTTATGTGTATAACAATGCGATTGTACAGTTGCTTTTGGTGGTGAAATCATCGAAATAATATCTCTACTGATCTTCTTGTTCCTTACTTTCTAGTGTCCTGATGGATATTTTCCACGATTTTAAGAACATTCAAATCTCAGAAATGCAAATGAATTACACGATACAAGCTACACTTGTATAGACGACTTCAAGTGGTACACTGTTCTGCGACAATTGGGCTTACTGTGCAAGCTGGAATTTGAAATTAACATTCATTCATTCATTCATTCGAGAACCAATTGTTAAAAACAAGAAACTAGACAGGATCATTTTCAGTCACCATAGGTGTAAATTACAATTATATTAAGAAGACATGAGTCAGTAAAGAGATCACTTTTTCGAAGCTTCACTTCAGAGCTGGACAATTATTTAGGGGGTGTAATATGTCTTTTACCTATCTGGGAAGCACAATTTCAACTACAGGCGGAACTGACGGCGATATCAAAGCAAGAATCGGAGAAGCAAGACAAGCTTTCACTACTCTCAAGTCTGTGTGAAGGTCAACAACACTCTGCATCAAAAATAACATCCGGATTTTCAACTCCAATGTAAAGTCAGTCAGTGCTACTCACTATACGGATCAGAGACTTGGCCAGCGCGTCATAAAGAGCATCTCAAACAAACTACACACCTTCATTAACAGTTGTCTTCGCTCAATACAACTCAAGATCAGATGGCCGGCCAGAAAAGATCAGCAACAGAGATCTCTGGCAATGAGCGAACCAACTCAACAGGAACCGATTGGGAAACAAATAGGCAGGAAGAAATGGAGATGGATTGGCTGGCCATACTCTGAGGAAACAATCCATCAAGTGAGTGACATCACTAGACAAGCCATTGCTCGAGTGGAATCCGCAAGGGAAGCGGTGAGTTGGTCGTCAGTGCAAGGATGAGGGTGACTTGGAGGAGGTGATGTGAAGAGGAGATGAAAACGTGTGGGCAGACATGGAGCCAGGTGAAGACTCTAGCAGAGAATCGAACGGAATGGAGACACACGGCTGAAGCCCTATGTTCCTCTAGGAATTAAAGGAAATAATAGTAATAGATTTACAACAGAGATCAAAGGTTACTGTCAGTAAATTAGTAGTAACTAAAGCTTGAAAAATTGGCAATAGTCTTACGTAATCAAGAGGGTTGACAATTAGTTAGCTGAGTAATGAATAATCGTTTGGAATTAACTGATAAAAAAATAAGACAACGAAGGATTGAAGGCAGTTCGCAAAAACGTGGAAATAATAAGAAAACGAACTAGATAGAGCTTATTGTACAGTTACTCTGGAAAAGAAAAAAAAGAAAAACAAACTAAAGCTAAGGCCATGATGGTAAAAAAAATTGGATAATATGTTTCTGAACACAAAGTTAAGGTTTCTTTCCTTAAAAGTTGTTACGGCTTCAGCTCCATGAAGAGGATGTAGGCGGAAATCCTTTCGACCGACACGGTCACACTTTGTGCATATTTTGGACTCTGAAAGAAGTAAGTCTCTGCTGATACTGCATGACCAGAAGAAATAATGTTGTGCTTCACAATTGAGCTGTTGACGGTTCTACTTTCAACCTTTAGACAACATCCTGCTATGCTAGTTACCAACTCACAATAACCTTTGATCTCTGCTCTCAATTTACATTGCATGTATAACCACCAACCCCTTTAATAACTGTACACCTTTGAAATGAGGTTTCACTGACTTATAAAGATGCTGCTACAGGACTGGACTACGTCAACTCCTAGCTTAGTGATAGGGAGTGAAGTGATAGAACATGTTGACCACTTCACCTATTTGGGAAGTTGTATCAGCACCAACGGATTAATTGGTGATGAAATCTCAGCACGGATCCAAAAAGCTCGAGGTGCTTTCGCTAACTTACACCATCTCTGGCGTAGGCGTGACATCCAACTATCAACCAAGGGGCGTGTGTACTGCTCAGCAGTTCGCTCCGTCCTTCTCTATGGCTCTGAAACATGGCCATCGCCAATACGAGTTGAAGACATGAAAAGGTTGACTGTTTTTGACCACAGATGTCTACGATCTCTTTCTCACGTTAGGTGGTATAATAAGGTAAGTAATGTTGACGTTAGGCGAAGAGTGTTGGGCAGAGAGGGAAAATCACTCGAAGAGGCTATAAAGTTACATAGATTGAGAGGGCTAGGTCACGTGCTGCGAATGCCTAGCCATCGCCTCCCCCGACGGACGGGCATTACTAGCTGATATAGGTGCAGGTTGGAAAAGACTAAGTGGTGGCCAAACAAAAACATGGCCTCATCAATCCATGAAATCCTTCTTTGACAGTTAAACTGAGTCAGGTAGGGAGATGCAGACTTCCGGGTTGGGGCCCGCTCTCGGGACTCTAAGAATCAATGGCTGGAGACAGACAATAGGTGACATGGCTCAAAATCATTGTCAGTGGCGCAGATGCATTCAGTCTCTTTAACCTTTCATATTCCTTTCTACCATTACTCATACTGTTTCACTCTTATACTTGTCAAAACTCTATTGATTCTCTTCACTCATTTTATTGTCTACCTTTGTGTGCTATTTGGAACGTGGCAACTCGAACTGCTGCACTTCGCTGCCGAGTTCTATGTTGAATCCAGACAGACAGACTGACTCATATGCTCTTATTTTTCATAGCATACAGAAAATTATATGATAGAAAAAATCCATGTAAAATATTAGGTAAGATACAAGATCCTGATACAGATAGTTATCATGAAAGAATAAATATTAAGTTTGAAGGTAACTGAAAATGAAGTCCATACAAGCCCAATAACAAGGAAGACTAGATTATATGGTCAATGGTGGCTGGCAGCAGTACAAGACGTATGACTCGTTTCTTGTCATTCTATTTTGAACTCGCTAGTGAATGATAGTGTCCACTCCCCCCCCACCCTGTCGACAAAGATTGAGCATTTCGATTCGATATAATCAATCAATGGGGAATTTGAAGAGACTTAATTTACACAGTGTGTAGCAAACAAGTCACGCTCAATACATTGGTGTTCATGCATTTCAGTACTGAAAGACACTTGTATGACAGTTAATTATACCACCTAGTTGGATGATATTTAGATAAGTGTGAACTTGGATTCGATTTAGTGATCTATAGATCAAGTAAACTGACTGATAGAATGAGTTTCAACATAGAATTATGCGCAAAAATGCGCTATTTCACGTTGCCACACTCTATGTAGCACACAAAGACAGAGAAAAGAGAGAGAAATGAGCATTAAAAAGACTAATAAATAGAAAAGTGAGGGAGAAAGAATAGTTACGTAGAGAAACACATTAGTATTTAATGGATATGGCTGATCATGAAGAGTGAATGCATATCTATGTCACTGACAACGATTTTGAGTCACATCACCAACTGTCTCCTGTCATTAGTTCGTAGAATCCTGAGAACTGCAACGAAGGAGCCTACACCTCCCTAAATGGCTCAGTCTGTTAACTGTTAACGATTTCATGGACTCATTCCAAGTTCTGGCATGTCATACACTAACTCTCTTCCAACCTGAAATAAGATCCGGTTGGAAAAGGACTAGTGGTGGTCAAGTATCCCAGTGTCAGCACCAGGCAACACAAAATCAAGAAATAAAAAGAATACTGATAATCAGAGATAAGAGTAAAATCCATTTTCTCTTATCTACAAAAGAAATACAATCAAAATCCAATAGTACAACAAACAAAATAATTCAAACAAGACTCATTTGTCTGTCTCTGATGTAATTCTTAAGGAATATACCGCAAATAATTTGTGTTTTGAACCTCGCCCAGATTACTAGGTCACTAGTATTCTAGCCGGTCCCAAGCCCGGATAAAGAGGGAGGGTTGGGGCGTGGTGCTAGCAACTCCACCCCCAAAACTTAACCAAATTGCTACTAAAACTTCAACGCACAAGTATATTCAAAATTCTAAAATTACAAATAGTGACCTTATTTTTCGCTGGAATCGGGGAAGTGAAATGACGCGGGCTGGTGAAAGCCTTCGGGAAGCCAGTCAGCCGATGTGCCTTCTTTCGATGAAAGCGAAAATAAGGATGGGGACGTGGAATGTTCGTACAATGTACGAAGCTGGGAAGGCTGGTCAGGTAGCCGCAGAAATGAGGAGATATAGAATAGAAGTGTTGGGAATCTGCGAGAGCAGATGGAACGGATGTGGAAGGAGCCAACTGTCAACTGGAGAGACAATAATCTACTCCGGTCACCCAGAGGACAATCACGAGCACACCGAGGGAGTAGCCATCATGATGTCACCAACAGCGGCTAAGGCTCCCATGCAGTGGGAACCAATCTCCTCCAGGATAATGACAGTCAGGTTCAACTCAAAAGGAAAAAAGGTTACAATCATTCAGTGCTACGCGCCTACAAACGCCTCAGAACATGAGAAGAAGGAGGATTTCTACAGTCAACTACAAACAGTAATGGACAACGTCCCAAAGAGCGATATCAAAATCCTGATGGGCGACATGAATGCGAAACTGGGAGGAGACAATACAGGAAGAGAACTCACCATGGGTCGTGAGGCCCTCGGTGAAATGAACGAAAATGGTGAACTCTTCTCAGACTTCTGCGCCTTCAATGATTTGGTGATTGGTGGTAGTGTGTTCAAACACAGGGATATTCACAAGGCAACATGGATTTCACCAGATGGACACACCAAAAACCAGATAGACTTCATTTCAATCTCAAGGAAGTGGAGACGGAGCCTACTGGACACAAGATCGAGGAGAGGAGCAGATGTGGGTTCAGACCACTATCTGGTACAAGGGACTTTCAAGGTGAAGCTGAAAGCCTCGAGGATACCTGGGGATAGGCCACAATGCAAGTTCAACACTCACAAACTGAAGGACACAATCACACAGGACATTTTCACTGCAACTGTCAGAGCAAAGCAGGAAACACTACGTGGCATCACTGAGGAATCATCCGTGGAAGACCATTGGAACTCTCTGAAGGTAATTTTCAACGAAACGTGCTCAACGGTTTTAGGAAGAAAGAAGAAACAAGACAAGGAATGGCTCTCAACAGACACTTGGAAACTAATAGAGGAGAGGAGAAAAGTGAAAGAGAAAATGATTCAATGCAAGGACGGACAAGAGAAAGAGACGCTGAACTCAACTTACACAGCACTGGACAAAGAAGTGAAGAAGAGTGCCAGGAAGGACAAAAGACAATTCTACGACAACCTGGCTACTGAAGCTGAGAAGGCAGCAGGCAAAAGGGACCTGAGGACACTATATAAGATAACCAAGTCTCTATCCGGGAAGAGATCAACACAAGTGAAACCTATAAAAGACAGCCAAGGGAACCCAATTACCAAAGAAGAAAGACAGATTAAACAATGGGCGGACCACTTCAAAGGACTCTTGAACCGATCACTACCTACAACCCGTCCAGAAATACCAACAACAGCACGTACACAACTGCAAGTTGACACCAATCCTCCAACGAAAGCTGAAGTCTTGAATGCAATCAAGTTTCTGAAAGCTGGAAAAGCAGCTGGACCAGATGGAATACCCCCGGAAGCACTAAAAGCGGACCCAGAAACGACAGCAGATATGCTGACTCCATTATTGCAAAAGATCTGGAAAGAGGGAAAGGTGCCTACTGACTGGAGGAAAGGTTACCTAGTGAAACTGCCAAAGAAGGGCGATCTAGGACACTGCGAGAACTGGCGAGGAATCATGCTCCTGTCGACGCCAAGTAAAATCCTGAGTCGCATCATCCTGGAGAGAATCAAGGACGCGCTGGATACAGAACTCCGACCAGAACAAGCTGGATTCAGGAAAGGCAAATCATGTTCTGACCAAATTGCAACTCTACGCATTATCATCGAACAAAGCATGGAATGGCAATCAAATCTCTACCTCAACTTCATACACTTTGAGAAGGCCTTCGACAGCGTTGACCGCGAAGTAAGTTGGAAACTACTCGAGTACTACGGCGTACCCCAAATATTCATCAACCTTATTCAACAACTGTACGACAACGGCACATGTCAAGTGATCCACAACGGAAAACTCAGCGAGGCGTTTGGAGTAAACACAGGAGTCAGACAAGGGTGCTTATTATCACCAATGATATTCCTAATTGTGGTGGACTGGATTCTGCGTCAGACAGTGGGAAAAGAGAAGACAGGGATATCCTGGACCGACGTGAAGAACCTAGAAGACCTGGATTTCGCGCGTGGATGATTTATGTTTGATGTCACACAAAATCGAAGACTTACAAACGAAAACCGACAAACTGGTCGAAGAAGCAGCAAAGACAGGACTCCAGGTGAACATAGACAAGACGGAGGTTATGAAAATAACCAACCAACAACAGCAGCAACATCCAGTGCCAATCACCATCAACGGGAGGGATTTGAAAGAGGTTACTTCTTTCACTTATCTGGGGAGCATTGTCTCAACCACAGGAGCAACGGACGAGGATGTCAATTCGAGAATCGCGCAGGCGAGAAACACATTCATCAACCTGAAACCAATCTGGAAATCTTCGTCACTCACCATCAACAACAAAATTCGGATTTTCAATACAAACGTCAAGTCAATTTTGCTTTACGGATCAGAAACTTGGCGGGTCACCAAGAATATTTTCAACAGGTTGCAGACCTTTATCAACAACTGTCTTCGCTCCATACTGAAGATTAGATGGCCAGAAAGAATCACAAACAAGAAGCTATGGGAACAAACGAAACAGGAACCAATCGCCCAACAAATATGCAGGAGGAAGTGGAGATGGATTGGACACTCGCTGAGGAGGCCGTTGAGTGACATCGCGCGTCAAGCCCTCGAGTGGAACCCGAAAGGGAAGCGGCGAGTGGGACGTCCAAGGGTGACATGGAGGAGATCGTGTGAGGAGGAGATGAAACAGTATGGAATAACATGGACGCAAGTGAAAAGAACAGCAGAAGACAGAAGCAAGTGGAGACGTGCAGTTGAAGCCCTATGTTCCACTAGGAACCCAAGGGAACAATAATAATAATTTGTGTTTTGAGTAAATTAGACTATATAAAAAAAACACGTAAATGCAAGTAAACACTTAATTCAATCTTACAAAACACAATTATTATTTCTTCATGAATACCGATTACAACCAGCAAGCAAACAGTAAAGCAAAAAGAGGGCTGCTAATATATGGTGGTATCACTCATCGGCTTAATCAGCTCGTTTCAACCTATAGAGTGATGGGTTCAAATCCCGCTCCATCTATCTTCAACCTGAACAACTAGGCAATATCGCTAGCCTTTCGTGTGACTCTTAGCCACTGTTGTGTATGCATCCGATATTTTCGAATAAAATAAAATCTAGAAGAACCGAGGTTTAATCGATTGAGTGAACGCGCCGTACAGAAGAATTAAAACATGTGAGTGACAGACACTTTATCTAGCAAAAGAAGGGGAATTTATTACACAGAGGAGATATTATGACTTAAATTACCTCAATTGGGATGCCCCATCAGTCGATGTAGGCAATGACACAGTGCATCCAGTTGCTGATGTCGCTAGTGTTGTTGGTTGTGCTGTGGGAGGAGGTGGAAAAGAAGGAGGAGGTGGGGGTGGTGGTGGTGGCGGATAATGCAAGAAATTCGATGGATTCAAGTTCTTAGTATTCATTGAATCAGTTGAATTTGGACAATTTTGATTTTGTTGTAATTGATAAGAATGAAATATCTCCATCCTACGATTAGTATCTAATTCACCCAAACTTTTCAAATAACTGCCTATACGATCTTGTGGTGGTATTGTCGAAAATTGATCCATTGGATTTACAGTGAATTGAGTTGTAGCTGTAGAGAAATGAGAACTATGCAGTACAACGTGTGGATGAGAAGGCTGTTGTTGTTGCTGTTGGATACCATTCGAGTGAGACACAATAACTGGTGCATTAAACTGATGATGTGAAGGATGATCAGTTGGCAGAGGTATTTCAAAAGGCTGAAAGATAACAGATATATATATATATATACATATATATAATACGATGATAACACTTCGGGAATGATTAGAATTACATCGAAAAATGACAGCAATACAAGAGTTAGTTAAAGGCAGTTAGATAAAATAGATTTTGAACAAACATTAGTGACTTGCCCTATTTAGGTAGGTAGTTACCTGGGTTTCTAGTGAGAAGTCGTGACCAGTAGGATGCAGCAGGTCGGGTGTGAGGACAAATAATCGCCGAAGACATTGGCTAGCGGTTGCGCTATATCGTGAATTGGCAGAAGTTAGAATTCATGGGCCATTGGATCGGGTCCCAGTGACTTAATGGTATACGAGCTCGTCTTGTAACCAGGAGTTCCTGGGTTCGAACCCCGGTGGGTGCATACTGGTGAAGAGTCCCAAACCAGGACGAAACAGCTATCCAGTACTCCCAGGTTTTCCAGTAGTTCTCTAACTGATGTCAGCTCATGATGAAAATCCTGTAACTAGCTACCACACTTGTTGTGAGTAGACAAATCTGAACAAATAGGTAAGGCATCTCTACGAGTTGGTATTAAAGACACCATAATCTAACTTAAAAAGCACAACCAAGAGTGGAAACAAAACTACCAAAACACATTTATAAGTTACAGGTTTGATCACTTGGAGTTGGCATCACTTGGAGAACTATTCAAAAACCAGGGAGTACCGGACACCTGTTTCGTCCTAGTCAGGAACTCCTCTTTGACAGTATGAACACATCGTGATTAGAGACCAAGGTTTTTACGGTTATAAGGCAAGCTCGTAAACCATTCAGACACTGAGACACGATCTAATTTCCCATGAATTCCAACTTCTGCCAAATTCCCGAGAAGCGTACAAGTCACGACACAAGTGTTTACCACTAGAGTTTTTAATAAAGTCATATTCAAATACTTCTAATGATCTAATCAAAAAACAAGATGTAAAAATATCATTATACCACTTACACTAACAAACAAACTATACAGAAATTTGAAATGAAAACGTCCAATTGCAAAATAACAAAGTATCAGGTGAGATTTTCATGAAACTGCCCACAGTGGCTTATTAACTTGCGGTCAGTGCAAAGTTATTAGAACTCAGTTACCTGGATAGAATTTCTTGTATGCCAAGAGCTGTGTCTGGCATATAATGTCAAAGCTTAGATTGAAAAAGAGTTGTGGTGACAGCTGTCTGCTAGCCAAAATTGTAGACAACACTTGACGTTACTGTTTACTTCCTAAATCGGGATCATGAGAAAAGACAAGAATAAAGCCTAACCTTGAGGAACTCAACAACCAATCACAGCAGACTTAGCGTGGGCGGATACGATTCGCAGATGTATCAACGGACTGTCAAAGAAACGGTAACAAAGAGATGACAGAATAACCTTCAGCAAGAAAACAACCAATCAGAAGACGTTTCTTCTCTACTAACAATAACGAATAATAATGCAGATAAAAATCTAAAGATATTTGTTGATTTTCTCAATAAACGATCAGTTGCCTGACTCTTGTCTTCTGTCGTTACAGAGTAATCCCAACCCTATGATCGTTAGCTGACAGTTGAGTGCTTCAGCCTATTAGCTACATATATTCACCTCTTTAGTTCCAGTCACAGTACATGCTAATATGTTAATCATGTGTACTATTCACTGACTACCACAAATTGGGATAAGAACATTAGAGACACGGTAATTACCTTCTGAAGTAAATTTTAAAAAAACAACAACAACAGTAGTAACGGAAAATGAAAACGCTCACCATATTTAACCGCCAGTCAACTTGGCTAGGTGTATTGCATGCAACAGAATTTGATGCAGCACTGTTAATCGTTCCAGTAACACCAATACTGCCACCAACACCACCACCGCATGCTCTACTCTCTGCTGGTGATTCATTCGATATAATCGATTCACCAACACCACTTTCATCTGGTGTATCTGTGTCTTGACTTCGTGTTGTACCGTCTAGAAAGAAATTATAGAATTTTAAACAGCAACAGTATACGTGACAATTTTCAATAATCTTTTCTTTTATAGTAAAATCAATATACTATTTAAAATATGTCAAGTATATATATATATATATATATATATATATATATATATATATATATAGTCACTATATTAGCATTACTATTTCCTTTAGTTTCCAGAGGAACATAGGACTTCACAGCAGCACGTCTCAGATGCGTTCGGTTCTCCAACAACGTTTTCTCCACGTCTACCCACATGCTTTCATCTCCTCTTCACATGACCTCCTCCATGTCACCCTCGCACGGACGACCAACTCATTGCTTCCCATTCGCCTTCCACTCGAGTGATGGCCTGGCGTGTGATGTCACTTGATGGTTTCCTCAGAGTATGGCCAGCCAATACAACTACATTTCTTCCTGCATATTTGTTGCACGATCGGTTCGTGCTGATTTGGTTCGCTTCGAGAAATCCCTCACTATTGCTGATCTTTTCTGGTGGGCCATCTGATCTTGAGTAGTAGTGAGCGAAGACAACTGTTAATCAAGGTCTGTAGTTTGTCTGAAGTGCCCTTCGTGACGCGGCTCCAAGTCTCTGATCCGTATAGTAAGTAACACTGACTTCACATTGGAGTAGAAAATCTGGATACTATTTTTGATGCTGAGTGCTGTTGATCTCCACACAGACTTGAGAGTAATAAAAAATTGCCTTGCTTTCCCGATCCTCACTTCGATATCCTGATCAGTTTCGACTGTAGTTGAAACTATGCTTCCCAGGTAGGTAAAGGAGGTTGCTTATAATTCATTATTTTACAATGCAAGTTTGTTATTTTTTCACACGTATTACTACTAATAATAGTTTCTTGGGTTCTGCGTGGAACGTAAGCCTTCAAAAGTACAAGTGCATCTCAATTTCATCCGCTTCCCTGAAGTCATCTTTAGCTTGCCCCACACGATCGCTCAGAGTCACTTATCTCCTCCATTTCATCATTGGACCTACACTCAATTTTTCGTTTCCTCATTTGGGTTACACTCGAGCAATAGCCTAGTGTGTCATGCTACTCAACAGTCTCCTCAGTATGTGTCTGATCAATCTCCATTAGCTTCTGCATATTTGTTAAGCAATAGATTCTTGGTTTGTTTGTTGTCTGACAAGAGTTCCTTGTGGTCAATCTTTTTTGGCCATCTAATCTTCAGTATGAAGCGAAAGCAGCCCCGTTGACGAAAGTCTGCAATCTGTCTGACGCGCTGTCATCTTTATGAACCATACAGAAGAGCACTGTCCGATTTGACATTAGTTTTGAAAATCTGAATCTTGTTCTTTTTATGCTTAATGCTTTAGATTTCCACACTGATTTCAGAGTAATTAAAGTCTGCCTTGTCTTTCCAGTCCTAACTGACTTTAACACCTTCATTCGTGTCACCAGTATTTGTAGCGATGCTACCTAGCCTAGATGAATGAAAGTGGCGATCCCCCCTTAAATTTCTCCCGTCAATAGCCACTGGTGCTTGTTGTTGGCTGCTGGATATCTTAATCACCTCTATCTTCCTCAAAGTTTACTCAAAGTCTTCTCATTACTGCTGTCTCTTCTGCCAACTTGTTGGTTTTCAGTTTTTCGCTTTAAATCACTTGACATGTGGTAACCATCCTATAACTGTTGAAAACGGTTTTATTGTTGAAACAGTTTCCAAATAATCACTTCGCAGTCAACGTTGTCGAAGGCCTTTTCAAAGTCGATGAAGTTGAGGTAGCAAGTATATATATATATATATATATATATATATATATATATATATCAATGTACACAAAGAAAAGGACAGAAATACAATAAAAACATTATACAAGAATCAGGGGAAAAGCAAAGATTAACATACTGACCAACCAAGTGATTGAATTATTTCTGCGAAGATACACACATAGGTATTGATTATTGTTGTTGTTATTATTATAGAGTAAACAGTGAAAAGACAAGAAAGTAGTATTCACTAAGAGAGGATTAAGCTGTTAGTAAAAAAAAACAGTAGATGTGTTCGACAGAAGAAGACTATTGGTAGTTGTTTCGTCTTCCTCTCCTAACCCCCTCCCCTAGCGTTTTCCTGTCCCCAACACTATCACTCACTGCAATAAGCGGGAAAAGAGGAGTAAGTGAACTCAGTGAGGGAGGGAGTGAGAGAAAAAAACTAAGCAGTAGAAAAGTATGCGATATATACTATTGAGATAAGGGGAAAATAATAATTCCAATGCAACTGTTCAAGTTTGTTATTGTCTGTAGTAATTACTAATTAAAACATTAGTATAACCGGTTTAAGTAGCACATAAACATTTTTTATTGCGCAGAAACCTTGAAAGATCTGTTTGATAGAGGTCGCTTCATATGTCATGTTGACTCTAAGACACTAAAAGACTACTCATCTGGAGGGGGAGAAGAACTATGGAACACTTGTCTATGCGCACGACTTCTAACTACCAGCTCCTGGTTTGAAACCCTGCCTCAACTACTGAGTTAAATCTCATGAGATCTAAATGAAAACAATATTGTTCACTTAAATGTGCCCTTCTAAATTTGAAAAGTGTCAAATTAGTAAAATCACATATGTATGTCGTGTATGAAGAACGATGGCTAAGCGAGTGGAGAAAAAATGTGACATATCGTCACTAAAACACAACAGGCAGGATACTTATTTTCGTTTGACTATATCAGCTAGAACACCAGTGTTACTGGATCCCCATGAGAAATAAACATTAGCTAGTTTACCATGATAAATCTAAAACAATTAGTTCCCTTTATGAATTTAAACAAAGCAATAAGAAGACGTAATTTGTCTGAATCCTGTAATGTATTTGCGCAACATATTTCGAACAGTCTGATCACACACGAACTTATTATATATGAAATAATTAGCAGTTAAGAGGTGAGAAAATAGACTTAGGCGAAGTTAAAAGGACATATTGAAGGTCAAACCACTAAACCAAATAGCAGAGGTAATAGTACAACTGCTATGGTATCAAAACAAAGTTCACCAAGGAAGGTTTAATGTGATTACGAATTGTTTTTGAACGCATAAAGGTGGTTTAAACTTTCTAATCGCAACCTAGGGTTTCTACAAACTTCAGGATACGCCCAAAACACGTTTTATAGATAGGTTTAAAAGATGTGTAAACGTCGATTTTATGACCTGTCTCTATAATATGTTTCGCAATAGAGGAGCTGGGTCTCCTTTTCTCCCCATTAATGGATTTTGAAGATTCTATTTGTTTCTGGAGCCATTTAGGAATATGCTCTGAAGCCAACCCTTACTTTCAGAGATCGTTGTATGTATGTGTGTCCACACGTCTAGTTGTCAAGCTGCTATGATCCCCCATATAGGGTAGCTTCATGTACACGTCTTTCTTAGGGGCGAGTTGTAGAGTGAGTGTTGGTGTTTTGACTACTTTGTATCTCTTGATGAACTTGTCTGGATAACTGTTACCAACCAGAGTTTGTGTCAACTTTCTTTCTTCTTCATCAAGTGTGTCTTCAGTCCATATTCATTGGATTCTCCTGAAGAGGCAGCTTACTAAGGCTCTTTTGTACCGAACAGGGCAGAAACTGTAGTAATTAAGATACTGTCCTATCCAGATAGGTTCTCTATAAATAGATCTTTTTATTGATCCATCAAGGCGTCGACTAAGCAATATGTCTAGAAAATATAAACAGTTATCTTCCTCTTCTACAGATCTAAGTGATATGCTCTTCTGAACTTTATTCATTCTACTTAAAACTGAGGTGGCAGGACAAGACTTATCATTTATGATTACAATATCATCTGCATACGTTCTATAAAGTGACACATTTTCGATTAAGTCCTCCGATAAACACTCAATGTACGACATATAGATATGTGCTAAAAGGGGCCCTAACGGACTTCTCACAGTAACACCATCAACTTGGCGAAAACAATCGCCTTCAAATGTAAACCTAACATAGTTAGTAGTAGTACATAGAAGTAATAAATCTGTTAACTTGTAAAATAATAAAACACTCCCCATAAATCAAATAGATTTGTACAATTAATAATGACAGTTATTTCCGTTGGGTTGTATCGCCATCAAAACAATACTTAGGATGTCAGCTGTATGTAATTCAAATTACGTCATCTCTGGCATAGATGCGATATCCGGTTATTTGTCAACAGGATGTTTTACCGCATAGTAGGTTCGCTTCGCATTTTTTTTACACCTATGTGAGCATGACCGTTTAAAATTGAAGATGCTAGCTAATCTTTGACAACAAGTGTCTGCATTCCATCTTCCATAGTAAATGTAATATAATATGGCGAGTCATATTCAGCCTAGGTGCAGAGTGTTATTTGACGAAGGAAAGTCAATCGATGAGGCTGTAAAAATGCATTGATTGATAATGCCAACTCATCATCGTCATCATCATCATCATCTTTCACGTCGAGCACTGTTAGCGCTCATATAGGATTAGGTTTGGAAAAAAGTTAGCAGTGGTCAAATCTAAACACAGCATCAGTTTATGAAGTCTTTGACCGTTGGTTTTAGCCATGTATAGAGATATAAACTAACTGCTGACTGGGATAAGCAAGACACCAAGAACCAATCACTCTTAAATCTAATGAATTTCTATTTCTACGAGTTGATCACGGATAGATATCAATTAGAGAACCATTGAAAACCACCGCTGGAGTACTGGACAACCGTTTCATCCTAGTTTGGGAATCCTCACCAGTATACGCCCACCGTAGAAGGTTCGAACCCAACGACTTTCCGGTTACAAGGCAAGCTGTTTCGTATACCATTCAGCCACTGGGACCCGATTCAATGGCCAGCTCATGAATTCTAACTTCTACCAAATTCGTGATTTAGCGCGACTCCAACCAATATTGTCGGTGGGACATCCATCCAAGTAAGTATTCTTCGTTTTATATAATATTTCTGTTTATTATAGTATGTGCTTTTATCAAGCATATCAACCTGAACTACTACTGCATTCTTGTGCAAAGTTTCAAGATGCCATTTTCAATTCAGTCCAGCTGTAAACAAATGACAACGTACCATACAAATGATAACAAGGGTTAAAAGAATAAAGGATGAATAAGAAACACTAAAATGCCAAGTTGATCGAACTCAGGAAGTATGTGACAGCAGAACATCAATCAGTTCTGATTATTACTATTATTACTACCTTTCACATATCCACATGCTTCTGATACATTCACATTCCTCCTGATGGAACAAACATTATCTGATAAGTTCACTTTCCCCTTGATATTAACAGTTAAGAGACGGACCCTACAAGACTTCCACGGTTTTCATAGAATGAGAAGTTGATTGATAACGGAAGTATACATGACAAACTTTTAAAAAAAAATACATAAAATTCAAATATTTAAAAAAAAAACATGGAATATACTACTCCAAATAATTATAAGTCATAAAACAAACACTCTATGTAAAAAAATTTCAATTTCAACTTACTCTGTTGATTGCCATTTTGAGTATTACTCGCAGGAGTAGTAGTAGTAGTAGTATTACGATGATGAACTGAACGATTAGGTCGAATAGACAATTTATCATTGATTACTTTTGTTGAATTCATCATATGTGGATGAGATATTTTAGAAACAGGTGAAATTGTACTGATATTAGAAAATTGATTGAGATTCGATGTAATAATATTTGTAGAGGTAGTATGCGATGAATTCGGTTGATATGAAGAACTACTACTACTAACCGGGATAAAATAACACAACTTTTCACCAATAGGCTGACATCCATTGTCAGGTGATGAAGCTGGTGAATACTGGATGTGTGTCAAGCCATTTGGAAATTGTGTTGTTTGACACTGTACAGAAGTGGGGAATCCATTTTGTCCAGATTCAATCAGTATTGGTGTCATTTGTGGAGAGCATGAGGAGGCTACAGAATTTGGTAAGAATCTAATCTGACCAAGATTACTAGTTGGTAAAAGAATATGATCTGCATGAAATAAAAGAATAAAGAATATCATCCGTTAGAAAAGGCGGATTTTTCTCAAGTATTGTATACCAACAAGCTAATTTAAGTGTGTCTCAAAATACACCCAGTTATAACCAGCAACCGAATCACTACTCCACACCTATACGCGCTATCGAAATGTGACAAAAATTGGTCATTTGTCTTTTTAAAGAAACAAAATTCTACTATGATTGCCCACTAAACAGTAACTAATGTAAGGGGTAGGTGGTTCAGCGAAACAACGTTCGCCAACAACGCCTCACGTGATCCGGGATTCCATTCCCAGCCGATGCATTCCTAAACTTAGTTAGGCCGGTTATTAAGACTGACAAAGTGGGAGGGTTAGATGTGCGGCTATCGACAGCACCCTGTAAAATACATAAACATGTTGCTGCTACCGAAACTTCAAAGCTGTAGATCTTGAAGCCATATGTTCCACTCAGAACGTCAAGGAATAAAATTTAAGAAATATCATGCGTCTAGTCCTTCATTAGTTGCAGACTGAGTCCTGTCAGTCAAATACCCAACGTGGGCATAATTACAGTGCTACAGAAGGTCCATTGTGAGTCTGATTGGCTCAGTGATAACATCTCTAATCGTATCACTGGGGTGCCTGAATTCCATTCTCAGAAAGGATATGAATCCCATGAAAATTACAGATACGCCTTGATGACTGGTGAGTGTCAACAAACATGAAACCTAAGCCAACGGCTTCTTACAGGTAGTCTATAACCACATAAAAACAAAAAGCTTTTACACCATTTAATGAATGAAAAAATCAACTATTACAGATTGTGATGAGATCATCAAATCGAAAAATCTTTTCTTCAAGTTAGTTTGCATTTTTTGTCGATTGATTATCTTAAACCGAAATGCTCAGTTTCTTTGGAGATATTATCTCCTAATATTGATGCTGCGACGATGTCTCATAATCATCATGGCGTCATTCGGATGATGGCGGCTAGCAGTGGAATCCAGGATGTACATTTCGTCTTATTTGGGGAGTCGTCATCTACGTGTACTCTTGGTGTGTGAAACAGTGAGTGTTGGATCCAAATCCCTGTGGCAACCCTATCATTCACTGGGGAATGTAGGTACATGCAGGGAGAAAAGAACATGTACTGTCGTGGGTGTGTGCCGATGAAGAGATTCCAAGTAGGACGAGACAGTTATCCAGTGCTCCATCGTTTTGTTCAGTGATTTCTCTAGCTGATGATGGTTCGTGAATAGATCTTGGAGTTCAAATTAATCCTAATCCCCAGAAATCGCATAATCTGAATAAAACTCTGTAGGTTACTTTCAGGAGCAATCTCATTTTGTCGGTCCTTTATTTATCGTGAAGATTATCAATACACTGCAAAGGACATTACTAGTGACATCAAGACATGAAGTTTTTAACACCATATGACTTAAATTTTTCGAAAATTTTAGGAACAAAGTGTCTACATTATGGACACCAACACAGGCACCCCTATTTAATTATTTTTTTAAAAATTATTCTTTTGTGTTCCAAGTGGAACATACAGCTTCAAGCTACAGCTTTAAAGTTTCAGTAACAGTGGTGTCTTTTAGGGGATGGTGTTGCTAGCCTCACACCCAACCTTCCCTATTTACCGGGCTAAGTGAGATTTAAAAGTACATCTGCCGGGGATCGAAACCTGAATTACTTGAGTGGTCGGCCAGTGTTCGACCACTACTGAACCACCGACGACGCATCACCCTATAACTAGTCTTTCCTTTAAGTTAATTTCACCATCTTTACATGGTTTTCTGGTTTTTCTTTAAATACTCGACAGATAAATTTCAATCAAACTATAAAGAAATTACTGGCAGTACGTTTCTTTGTATATATGTATAAGACAATGCATTCATCAAAGTAGATAATTATTCGGTGAACACGCGATTCTTCTCATGAATTACATAGTGCATTTAGAAATTCCATTAACTTTCAATCATTGAAGTCACAGATACAAATTCCATTTCATCTATTTAAGGTCTAAATAGCCAGATAGTATCAATTATCAATTCTAAAACCATAAATGTGATTCATTGACAAATGCCAGAGACGATGTTATACACAAACGTAACGTTCAGAGGCAACCTTCTGGTCAACACTCTATGGAAGAAAGTATAAAGCAACCTGAAAAGAATATTCTTTGCATCTAAATTAAGACTGGTATTCTTCTGCCGCCCAATTTCCTCTCATAACTCGAAAGATAAACGCACTGAGCGACCTATATATATATATATATATATATATATATATATATATATATATATATATATATAGGTCGCTATGTGCGTATTCTACTCAAAACAGTTGAGCATATTATGTAACATAGCTACAGAAAGCTCACAGTGGGTTAATGCAGAGTGTTATAATGTAACATATTCAACACTGGTCCCTCAATATCTAAAGGAAACCCATTCAAAGTTACCTATAAAGTTAACAGACGCCTCCCAAAAATCAGATGGTTTCTGTATTCATCGCTTTGTTGAGGCCTTAGTCACTCGTGTAAAAAAAACTGTGATTTATAGACACAGAAGGAACCTTTCTACCTACTCCTTCTACCTGGGGCATAATTACAAGCTAAATTCTTATTAATATTTTGTTATCACAAAACTTTTTGTATCTTTTCACATGATAAGTATTAACATAATTTTTTCTAAAACCAACCTTTTCTTCACTGCGTTCACCTGTTACGTAATATTTATTTTTGATACTTATATGTCTATACTCCTCCCTTGAAACGTTTGTTTTCGCATTACGCAATCATTAGTCAAAACTAATTTATTTATCTCCATGAGTTACAAAATTGACTAATCTTCACTTCATACTGTTTTAAAATATTCTAATAATGTAAACAATATTTCAAAATAATTTATTTTTATCTGTTTTGCTATATTTGACAGGCTAAGTGTATATACTACACAGAAACAAAGTAATTATATATATATATATATATATATATATATATATATATATATATAACTACAATTGTACTTCCAAGTGTGAATGAATTTGCTGAAATGAGTCACTTTACTAGACCACTTTTTTCTTATCTTCGTGTTGAAAATGGGGATATATGATATGTGTATAATTGATATTTTCACATCACTAATGTTAATATGATCTTTACATCTTTCTTCGTGTGAAGTTCTTTTTTTCGACAGCAAATAAAGGCCAATTTATTCTTAGATCAGAACAAAATAGTAAGTTGAACTATTATTCCCTTGTATTCAACTTATAACTTGATGCTGTCTAGCTGATGGAATGTGACCGGTGGAATACCATGGCGTGCATAATACCTTATTTCAGACTCCTTTAGCTGGACGCAGCTGGTCCTCAATGAATCATGGTGTTTGTACTGACACTCGAACAACAATAACAACAACCATCCTCATCACAAACGCCAATGCGTTATCCATTAAGCTACTTACTAAGCCACAATGTTTTATGGTATGAGTATCAATTGTTATTTATGCGTGGAAGTACAGGATATACGCGTGGATAAATGATGCAAACTATTTTGTAAATCAAGGGAAAAACTAGATCAGTCAAACTGAGCGTTTGATTCAAACACATAATTGTAGCGCGTGCTACTGATAAGATTTATCAGTAGTATATCGGCGCAACTGACGAGGATATCAAAGCAAGAATCGGAAAAGCAAGCAACAAGCTTTCACTACTCTCAAGTCTGTGTGGAGGTCAACAGCACTCAGCATCAGAAATAACATCCGGATTTTCAACTCCAATGTGAAGTCAGTCAGTGCTACTCACTATACGGATCAGAGACTTGGCCAGCGCGTCATAAAGAGCACCCGAAACAAACTACACACCTTCATTAACAGTTGTCTTCGCTCAATACCACTCAAGATCAGATGGCCGGTCAGAAAAGATCAGCAACAGGATGGGATCTCTGGTAATGAGCGAACCAACACAGCAGGAACCGATTGTGAAACAAATAGGCAGGAAGAAATGGAGACGGATTGACTGGCCATACTCTGAGGAAACAATCCATCAAGTGACATCACTAGACAGGCTATTTCTTGAGTGGAACCCGGCCAAAAAGGGAAGTGGCGAGTTGGTCGTCAGTGCAAGGGTGGGTGAGCTGGAGGAGGTCATGTGAATAGGAGATGAAAACTTGTGGGCAGACTTGGAGCCAGGTGAAGACTCTAGCAGAGAACCGAACTCAATGGAGACGCACGGCTGAAGGCCTATGTTCCTCTAGGAATTAAAGGATACAACAATAATAATAATAATATCGGCATGAAAATATCACGAAGCGGATAGATTTGATGTTAACGAGAGCAAATAAATCAGTGTCGCGTCAAAAAATGGAAGACACGAAAAATAAGATGGAGAAACACAATACGAAGGGCAGAAGTAGCACAATACAAAATATATGTGATATGACGATTTGCGCATAACCTGAACATAATTTCATTAGACAGAGATACCAAATTCCAAATAAACATTCCTTTACCAAGTCTCCTGTCCTTTACAGTTACATAATGATGTCATTCAAAAAGTTTTAGATGATATAAGCTTGCTTAAAAGCGGAGAGAGACAGGGGGTGATAAATAAGTACAAATTACTTTTTTTGTCATTCCTTTGAGTTCCGAGTGGAGCATAGGGCTTCAAACTACAGCTTTGAAGTTTCGTTAGCAGCGGTTGTTTTTACGGAGTGAGGTTGCTATTCGCAATGCCGAACCTACCCTTTTCGCTGGGTTTACTACCAGCCAAGAGAGATTAAGGAGTACGCCGGCCAGGGATCGAAAGCCGGACCACCTGAATGGCTGGCAAGATGTTATGTATGTGAATATGAGGACCTTGTAGACTACGAGCGAATCTAATTCAATGCGCTGGCTAATCTGTCCTAATCGCACGTCAACAACAACAACAACAATACCGCCGGGCACGCAAGACAAAGAAAAGAGAAGACTGGACGTTGATACGAGAGCTTTTACTGTCTCTACAA